TCTCTGCCACTCCATTCACCTGGAGGGACAGGAAGCAAGACAGGATTGAAGCAACCCATTTGGCACAACTCTTTCCTCTTGCACAGCCCCACAGGCTCTCCCCTCGAGCTTACCATCACCACTCCACCCTGCCCCAGCCTTATCCGCTGGTCAGCCACATCGACATCCACGTATCGGACGTAGGACACACGAGTGTTGCTCCCCCTGTGCTCGTTGGCTGCTTCCACGTTGAAGTAGGGCAGGGAGCTGTTGCTCTCACACAGCTTGGAGAGGGTGTAGGTGCAGGTGCCCATGAAGTTGTGTAGCTGCTTGTCGAATGTGTGGTAGTGAGGATCTCCTTGTATACTGCAAATTGCTTCTGGAGACAGGAAAAAGAATATGTTCTCATTAACACATGGATACATCCAGAAAGCCCACTTCATTTTGTACTGGGAAAACACAATCATCCTGATTGTATAGATTACATCTGGAAGAACTGAAACAGAAAGGGAGATTTGTAAGGCATAAGGCAATGTCAAAGAGAGATACCTATAGAAATTAACTGAAGCAAAGTGGTGGTGGTAAAACATGCAGCTGTCCTATAAACCATTAACTAGCATATAAGGTTGTCTAAAATTACCTGTCACTGGTGGTGGTGTAGGCTCTGTTGGTGTAGGTGTTGGTGGTACAGGTGTAGGGCCAGCTTCTGTTAGTGGAAAAGACAAGGCAATACAATGAGCTTTAACATTACAGGGTGAACACTACTTACATGCTAACATACATTAGTTTTCACTTACTCTTCACCACCATGAAGTTAGAAGTTTTTCAGTGAAGTAAGTAGAACTGCCTATTTTTAAAATTGGGGCTATATGGGTTTTTTGAGCACTAAGGAAAGCTCAAATTGTTAGCTTGATCAACAACTGAGCTTGAATGGCTGCTCTAGAGCTGGAAGTGTATTTACAATCGGGTATGTGACTCCCTCTGGTGTATGTTAAGACACATGAAGGTCCTGCTGGCAGCAAGTGTTGGCAGATCTGATAGCAAGATGAACAAAGAAGCTCTTGTCTCTTGGAGTTATGTTTGTGCACCATCCGGTGGCTGAATCATGTGCTAATACACCTGGAAAAATGAAGAACTGGCTCTCCCTAGCCTTCAAACAAAAGAAGGCCCCAAGTTTTGTTCATGGCATTTTAAATAAAATCATATGTTCTGAGGGTATGGACCTGAATGGAAAACTTTGTCCTGGGTAGTGTAAATTTGAAACATCCCATGTCATTAAATGAGTAGTATTTCGCAGAGAAGAAGACCTATTAAGACCAAATGACACTTTCTGTAAGTTTTTCAGCAAATTTCTTGTTCAATTCACATTTTGCAAGTATTGTGTGCTTGTCAGTAAAAGTGGATCCCAGTCACCCACAGCCTGTGCCAGTCTTGGCTGATCTGTTACGGGGTCAGAGATCAAGCTCAAATTGCTGATTCGTAGTCAAAGCTGACGGTGCAACTTGGTGTTCCTGACTCACTGTTATCTTTTTGTGACATATGGCTGTACTGTGTATTTGATGAGTTTGTACGAACTGATATTTGCTGTAAAATGCTTATCAGTGTATTTAATGTGGAATCCAAATTCAGTGTGCATAGCCTGCTCTGGGTTTAGAGATGCACTTCAGACTTACAAGTGAAGTAAACTTTGCTGGACCTGGTGAAAAAGGTCACATGTGCAGAGAAAGGGGGGTAGCTTATTTTGGACATTTGAGGTGATGAGGAAAGAATTAGGAAGAAACTACAGCGAAACACATAACACTCAAACAAAGTGAGCTGTAAAGTTTTTTGCGATTTCTCTTTTGTGGTTCGAGGTTCTGAAGAGTTGCTGCATTGTATATGGAATAGAGTAATGGTCAATAGCTTAAACAGAGATGAAGAAGCAGGACACACTCAGGTGCAAACACAAACTTACCACAGGATCCATCCCTCACTCTCACATTGTCCAGTGCTGTATCCCCATACTCTGTTAGTCCTCGGACAGCCTCAAAAATTACCTAGGCAGGACACAGAGTGATCACCGAATCAGAGTTGCTCAGGCAAACACAAGACTATTTCTCTTAGCATTATTTTCAAAATAAACTCTCTGGTTTATTGCTAAAGGCATCAAGTCAGCTGAGGTTATAACAGTTTTCCTAACTTCCCTCAGAAGCCTAAAATATATATTCTGTAATAAGGTAAGGACTGCAAGAAACATTGTCCTCTCTTTTGCTGACTTCTAAATGATTTATGAGAATTAGTTGTCTGAATTCTACAGAGGAGTCCAATGTAGGCAGCATCCCAAAGTTCAAACCTTCAAACTCATAGTCGACAAACTTACATTTAATTAAGACATCTAAAGTCCTTGATTTCATGATAAAATTAATGAGGGAAGGAAGGACAAAGAGAGAAAACCAAATTAAATTTTATCCGCTAACTAATAGCACTATTAAAACTAGGTGGTTGTTTGTTTCTCCTCTTAGTTCATTGACAGAAATCATGAGGCCATTATATTCACAAAATCTTGGTTATATTTTTAGCTTACATGCACAGTATTTTGCAACCTGCAAATGGAGAACAAATACTGACACTGCACAAAGAAATTCACTTTGAAAATATATTACCTTTATCTTTCTCTGTGTTGGGAAAGTGTGAGTGATGGCACCATAGTTCCAAAAAGAGCTCTGGTTTCCCTTCCGATGCCATATCACAGACTCCTGTGTGCCATCTTGGATAAGCACTCTCAGCTCATTCATCTCTTCTGATCCAAACATATAGTACCAGAAGTCGATGCATATTTTTTCAGAAACAATAGTCTCTGGGCTTTCCAGCCTGTTGATGTCGAACGGGATCAGATTACTTGCTTCTTGGTAGATGAAATAACCTTCTGCAGAGTGAAAAAAAATTAAAATACAGTTGAATCTTCCTAATTTGTTAGATGTTGTCTAAAATTGAAGTACAACCCAACTCTGGAAGAAATCAAGGGCGTCATTATCAGTGCAAAGAAGCAAAGTGGAGGGTGTTTGGACTTCATGTTGCAATGGTTAACCCCATATACTTATCCAAAGTAGAATGTGAGCCTGAGAGCAAAGCAAATACATTTCATCTCATGTGAACACTTATTTTGGGATCACAATTAAAGATGCAGGACTCTTTTGAGAGACAGCGCCTCCAGACACAGTGCCACACTGATCCAGGTTCAGTTTCCGCTTTCCTCAAAGGAAAAGAATGTAATCTGCTATACACCTTCTCATGTGGGATAACTTTTTTTTTTTTTCCCTAATGATTTTGGTTTCAAGATGAGTAAATCCCTGGCACAAGGAAAAATTCCAAACTGTCAGCATTTGGTTTTGTCTCAAAATTTAAGAAATAGAAAGTAATGCTTATATTTTATTCAAAATATTTATATTTGACATTGTGAAAAGGAAGAAATTTTTTTAAAATTCAGAAACTTGCAATGTTTCTTTTAGGATTTGAAATGCTTTAGTCTGATTGGTCTTAGGCTTGAAGTATTTTGCTTCACATAGACTAAGATCAAAGTTACATTTCCCCACTGCAGCTGGAGTCAAGTTTCTCCCATCTCACTATGGAAAGGAATCAAAAATAAACGAATGACCACTTCTATATGGTAAGGTATAGGTCCACACATTCAGTCATATATTAAAGCTGGCAAGAAAATCTAAGTACTATTTAAAGTGATAAGGTCTCTGTCAATTAAAAAAGAAAAACATTATTATTCGTGTTAATCCAAATTAAAAGCATTCAATTTCTTCTTCCAACAGGCACTTTTAATTGTTATTATAAAATACTAAAAATTCAGAAAATTATTTAGCAAAAATCCAAACTAATACCATTCTAATCCGCTTGCTGACTCTGACAGTAGCTGACCTTTCATTCTTGGGATAATTACAAGCAGGATGACTGCAAACTGATCCCCATAAATGGATATTCTAGTGCAAGGATAGTGGTTCAAGCACATAGAGATGGAGCCATGGAGCATTTGTTTGCTAATATGACCATGTCAGACTCCAGTTTTAAAATCATAGGTAGCTGAGGACAGACTTTTTAAATATATTCTTTAATTTCAGGCTTGATTTTGTAACACTTTTCCAGCATGAACTTTATCTAGGGCCAGCACAGTGATCATTAAATTTGTTACCATTAACTGATATCAGTGTAATTTGGCCACAAACCCTGTCTTGAAAAATGGTCTGTCACATGGCACTACATTCTCTATTAGGTCTTAACATGATATAATTAGCTTCTTTCTACTTCCATGCACTGATAAAGATATCCAATCTATGATAGGCAAGCCAATTTAATTTACTCCTAACTGATATGGTGAAAAGTCATAAACAGGTGTCAACGTGAAACGAAACCAACACATTTCAAGAGCTTTAAGAATCTCTTTTCTCTTCCAAAGAAATGATAAAGGTAAGTCAAGCTGTCTTCAAAAAAAAAACCCCAAAAAACCAGCAATGCCACAACCAAGCACTTACTTCCATCAGGATAATCTCCATCAGGACCTGTTCCATCAGTCGGAGTGTCATGCTTTGTCCGTATCCACACCCCCTGGTTGATACTGCAGGGCTGGGTCCAGTCACAAAATGGTCTTGAGTTATTATTGAAATCACATCTGGTGAGGTAAGCTGGAATACAACACATTAAAGTGAGGAAGAGGAGCTAGTATGTTCAAAATTGGATGTTAACACCACTAATGACATGCAGTTACCTGTTTCAGGATCCCATGTTCTCAAGCCACCAGTTGGCCTTTGCTTGATCCTGCCAAGAAAAGCAACAGAGTGAAGCCCTTGTGGAATTAATGACTCAAAAACTGTTTAAGAAAGCATACTGGGACCACAACTTTTGCCTTTGGGTGTTTCACTGAATAACTGAATAGACCCTGAGTTTGATCCGTATCTGACTTTCTCTTCCCATATGGAACTTCTTCCTGACAAAGCTCTGAGAGTGAGTCAAAGGTGGGATATGTTCACTTCATCTGGTGTGGAAGGATTCTCTGCTCTGTATCCCACTGAACTGAAATGAGAGGAGTTCTACTAGGTACAGGGAGCTATGGAAGAGATGGATGGATAAAGCACAGCTCAGACAATATCAGGATAATATTAAACATTTTTCTATTAACTTGCTCATGTCATTATTATCCCCACTGTTTCAAAGCAAAGTGTGTAAATGCCAGTAAGATAGTGTACTGTGTAAGTGTAATTTGCTGGAAGGCTACATATTTCCTTTAACTGCTGCAAATCTCCCATGACACAAAACTTTCATTTCATTCAGCTCTTCTGATTTACCCTGAAAATGCTGCAAAAAAAAAAGCAGTTACAAATGCACAGTCCTTGTGTGCTACAAAGTCCTGCAGAGATAAGTTGACACAAGGCCAAAATCCCACCACATATCACAGAATAAATGGTTCTGCTTTTGGGGTGTTTTGCACAGGGAAGGGATTTCCATGACTGCAAGGCTACAACAGTGGCTCTTGACATACTCTGACTGTGGTGCATAATTTCAGGTGGCAGGTTTCAGTTCCAAATTCTGTGGTGCCCTCTCCTTAATTATTCTTACTGTACTTGACACAGTCTAGAGAATTTGTCCTTGAGTGAAAGCATCACAATGAATGTCCACACTGCTCAAAATCCAAGCAATGACATTCAGAAAACTAGGGATATTAGGAGCAAATATCTCAATGAATTCATCATGAAATGATGCAATGAAATGCAGCAAGCAACTCTAAAACAGACTGAGCTAAAAGATAAGGAGGAAAAAGAATATGTAAAAACAGATAAAATAAGAAAGTTTTCTTCATTGTTCTTCTTGGATTTCTT